ACCGTATATACCCCACCATCGCAGTGTGGGTCGCGGCCATGATGCTGAACTCAGTGGTGAACGTCTGGGTGGAGTATCGAGCTGGTAGGTCATGGCCACGAGACCCTGTCACTGGTCAGGTCAAAGACCCCATAATCCTGCCCGATCTAGGCTTCCAATTACTCCCTTATATTCCCAACGACATCTTCGGCTTCAGTCTAGCAGATGTGTCTATGAACATTGTGATGGGCATCGCAGTGGTCCGAGCATTCGCAGGGTCCAAGCCGGGACATCCCTTCATCGTGCTAAAGCGAGTGCTCCTCTTGAGCTCAGCCTCCTACCTAGGCCGGGCCATCTCTGTGCCCATCACCATGCTACCTAGTCCAGACATGCGATGCGTACCCCACCTCGTTGAGGGCAGCATGTTCTGGTCAGTAATGTTGATGCCGTTCGGTTTGTCCCACACTTGCGCTGATGTTTTCTATTCTGGTCATTCGATACCTATCACATTGAGTATGATGTTCTGGGTAGACTATACTGCCTCAGTGCAGGAGCGGATCTTCGGCTTTCTGCTCAGTCTCGTGGCCCTGTTGATAATTGTATGTACACATTTCCATTATACTCTCGACGTTCTCTACGGTGTTGGGCTCACTGTAATTCTATGGCGTCTTTACCACTTCGGCCTCACAGTGCCGGCAGTTGTCCTTAACTCGAGTTTTTATATGTTTTGGGAGATGGATTCCTTTATAGAAGACAGGGACGGCCGAGGCACTTCAGAGTCCAGTGTCACCAGTATGTCAATCCAGTTGACCAACGATTCGCAGCATGATCCGTTGCTTATTGACATTGAGAAGGACCATAGACCAATGCATCTCCAGCTCGCATCCCCTGCTGGAATAGTGCCTTGGAGTCTCTATGATGAGCCCCGTATTGTGTGGGGTAGGGTGATCTGCAGCGATGATGCTGATGACCGAGGGCAGCAACAACATCACGTTCATGGCTATAAGCCATTGTGAGTTTCTGGCAACTCTGTGTAATATGGTCGCGTGTCGCTCTGTAAGTTAATGCTTATATGAACTTCTACCCCATTATCGATAACAATATGCTGCACTATTCCAGAGATAGGTTTTCGTATAGTAGCATTTTCTGGCAATCTGCTAAGTATCGAGTAATATAACAAATAGGTGGGTTTCAGTTTGTATCAGGAGCTCATTGGCTTCGTCCTTCCCTATGTCAGTGTGTCGTCTACTACTAGCAGTAGTAGCATGTACAGCGGCCCTCCTGCTCAACTGCATAGTAGACGTGTGGGCCCAGTACAGAGCGGACAGGTACTGGCCTCGGGACCACCGAACTGGCTCGTTAATGGAAGCATCGTCCCCTTTACCTGATATAGGCTTTGAACTACTGCCTTATGTTTCGAGTGACTTCCACGGCGTCCGTATACCCGACGTTTGTATGACACTTTGCGTCTTGGGAGCGGCCGTGATGGTATTTGTTAAATTCAACTTCAACCAAGCCACTATTGTTCTAAAGCGCACATTGCTATTAGGGGCAATAGGGTACACTGGGAGAGCTCTTAGTGTTCCCATGACTCAGCTGCCCAACCCGGACGCTAGTTGCAAGGCGATCTTGGATTGGGACCACCCCTTGATCTCGATTCTGTTGGTCCCATTTGGTCTTGCCCACACTTGTGCAGACGTATTCTATTCGGGTCACTCCATATCTGTCACACTTGCTACAATGGTTTGGTGGGACTATACCTCGTCGATTGCCTCGAGGCTCTTCGGCCTCTTCTGGGGCCTCTTTACTTTGCTGGTG